TGCTTTTGTTGTTCAATTGGTCGGATGTCTTTGTTTTGCACTCGAGGACCTTTGGATCATTTCTCGTTATTCCCACCGGACGAACACCATTGGACACGGTGGTGCCCCACCGTGTAGAGTACGCATTTTCTTTTCTTATTTTCTCTTTCTTTCTTTGCTCTTTTGTGTCTCCGTGTTTATTTTCTTTTAGTTTCTTTGTTTCTCGTATTTCGTTTTTCGTTTTCATCGCACGAACTTACATGATTATGTGCTTTCCTCTATGCTTTTTGGTCAAGTAATGAGGACAGTGCTTTGTTTTAAGTGTGGGGGAGGAATTTTCGTGATTATGCATGTTTGGGAGATATTTATTTCATTTTTGGTGCTTTATTTTTCGTTTTTGTCGTGTCTTGGACCGGTTTTGTCTAGTTTTTGTGTGTTTGTGTCGCCTCTCCCGCATGATGCTCAATGTTTGTTCAAAAGTCGAAATAGCTAAGTGGTGAGTTGAGATTGTTGATTGGTTTCACTATTAACGTTTATGCTTTATGTACTTGATGACTTGGACGGTTTCCTTAAAGTGAAATGATGATTCATTGACATTGGAACCCGCATGTGGATTCACAGAATTGTTTTGTCCCTTGTTTGTTCTCGATTGATTGTCTTGAGGCATGCTTTCCTTATGTTCGATTATCATTGTAAACGTGTTATCTATGCACTTGTGGTACGTCTTGATGATATTGATGTTCATGTTATTGTATTCTTGATGTATTATTGTGTGCCACTCCCTTCAAAAAAAAAAATGAAATAAAATGAGAGTTCGCGGGGTAGTACAGATTAGGCTCCTCTTATTCCAAGCCACTTCGTGGATTGGGATAATGAGCCCGGGAAACCGGTTTAGGAAACTCAAGAAAACCCCTCGAGGTTAAACCTAGATCATCTCGTTCGGAAACCTCGTTTGGAAAGAGAAGCTCACGAAAATGAGTTCGTGAGAGTTGAAAGGATTAGGCTCCTCTTGGCTCGGTTAGTATTCTAGAAAAATCGAGTCAATGAGCACGGGAAACCGGCCTAGGAGACTCGGGGACAAACCCCGAGGTTAAACCTAGGTAATAATCGTCCTAACGGCTCTCATTTGGAAAAAGTAGCTCATTAATAAAAAAAAAAAGAAAAAAAAAAGAAAAAGAAAAAGAAGGGGAGTTGGCTTATTGGTCTCGTGCTTATCATTTCATGTTTAGTAGATCATTATAGTTTTTGCACGTGTATTTAGACGAGTGAGTGTGAATCGAGTGATCATATGTAGAATAACTCGGGATGAATTTTTGTTTTGTATGGATTTGCTATGTGGGGACCCTGCTTTCGGATTGGATTTTGATTTTAGGGATAACTGGATGATAATGAGAGTCTCATTTCGCATGCTCGTTAATGTTGGACCGTTCGATTTTTCTTTTCGAGCTACTTGTTGTTTTGTTTGCTTGAGGAC